CATGCCACATCACTGACACATCATTTATCACTATCATGTCAAATATTATTACCTTTAATTGTGCCTTGGTTAGGTTCGAACTTGCAACCTCGTGCTCCCATATGTCTTTGTATCTACCTTGCTGCCAGTTGAGCAAAAAAAAAATTTCAATCTTAATTGATAAATTAAATATATAATAGTTAAGCACAAACACACATATTAATAAATATATCATTTAAATTATTATTAAATAAAGTATTTAAATTTACTTATTTTTTTAGCATTATATTTATTTATTAATATGGAAAAATTAATTTATATATAATAATTATTTTTATTATATTTTATCTAAAAAAATTATTTCTGATAATAAATTTAATAATAAATTGAAAGATATTTTATTATCATTATATATTATATTATAATTTGTATCTATATAATATATAATATTTTAAATTTTTATTTTATAATTATTTTTTATTTTTATTTTTAAATAAGAATAATTAAGTATACAATTTAAATTATTATTAATATTTAATAATATATAAATAATTTAAAATAATAAATTATTTTAAATTATATTTTTTAAATTATTTATTTATAGCATAATAATAAATTATATATAAACATATATTATAAATAATAAAATTTAAATTAAAAATAACTTGTGATGGAATTAGTGATAGAATTATGATAAAAACTTTGTGACAGAATTTTCTGTTGCAAATTCTGTCACTAAATTGAAATAAGATACTCTAACTATTAGCGATGAAATTTTCCATCGGTAAATTATTTCTGACAGATCAGCAACGAAATAATGATAAAATTTTAGCGACAGAACATTCTGTCACTAAATTAGTGATGGATTAATGATGAAAATTTATTCCATTACTAATCTACTGTTTTTTTTTTTTTTTGTAGTGTATAAGGCCAATGGATATATGAGAATTTTCATGCAGATTAATGATAATGATGGAAGACATACGAAAATTTCTCACTTGCTGGATAATGGTTTTGCTCAATTATGCATACATAATGTTTCTAGTTCTCCAACTTCCATACTATCAGATCATGATGCATTTCTGAATGTTGGTTTTCTATCTGTAGCTGAAAGCACATTAATTGGACAGGTCGGCATGCACACTTGCAAATGCAAATTTGCTCTGTTTTTTTGAAGACAAAACAAAGCATTTTTTGCAACATGGGTTTGGCCGAGTTTTGACCAAAAAACTTCACAAATATGGATGATTTATGGTGGACCTTCATGAGAAGCAGCATTGTGAAGGTCCATTATCGGGCGCTGCTGATATTTGATATAATCCAACCTTATCTGTCGTCTACTCATATTTTCAGTTTCCTTTACGTGTGTTTTTCTCAAGTTCATATCATGCATGCTATCTGGGACTTTTCATGCAGGATGCCAAATTTTCCAAAGCTTTGGCTTTGGAGCTTCAATTCCTACGAGAGATTTTCCAAGTTTCTGTTCTCCAATAACTATAGAGATCAAGCTTCTTATCGGTTTGTGTGCTTCATTCAACCAATTGGTAGACCTTTTTTTGGAAGGTTATTGATCCACTTCAACCTTTCTTGCAGTGTTCAGGATTTCATCTCATGGGTTTCTAGTCTCTGTTGTTTTTTCTTTTTATTTTAGTTATTACTGGATTGTACAAATAGGCCCTTTAGATTATAGTATGAGGGTTTTTTTAATCTTGTATTAGTTTTTTTTTCTTATATTAATATATTGACTTATTATAAAATAATAATAAATAGCAATTTACAATTCAACATTTTTCACTTCACCGACTTTCAATTATTATTACGGAAATTGAAAATGATATAAAAAGCATAAAATCTTTCATAACTATGATTGCATTATAGAATAAAAAATAAATAAATGAGTGATCGCCCTTTCCCATTCTCAACCCTTTGTAAGTTATTTAGATATACACCTGGAATCAATTCTGAATTAAAAATCATCATTTTTGAAAATCCTATTCAAATTCTTCGATTTTCCTAAATTTAACTTGCCTTGTGAAATTCTGTTTGGCATAAGTTGTTATTTTTTCTATTTGAAAATCAATTCTCAAATTTCCTCCCATTTTACATATTAATAATTGATACCGAAAATTTATTCAAACATATTCAATTATTAAAATAAATTTCAGAAAATGTCATCCAATAATTATCATGTTTTGTTAATATTTTTTATAACAAATGTTATGTAAATAGGGTTTTCATAATTAATTTTTTTCAATTAAAATTTAAACGTACCCCCTCATGCTAGCAATCTTTTAATTTTGGCCATGCCCTCCCTGTGGCCAATTTTTTTTTTATTGTACATTTTTATTTTAAACTTTTTTTTTGAGAAATGTTGGACACTTTATATTTATAAGTGAGATAATTTTTTCAAGGAGTAAAAAACTTTATTTGTTAGTCAGCTATTAACTTTGGCTTTTTGGCCGACATAGCATGTGTGTGGAGCTGCTACGTAGTGATAGATAAGACTTTAACTATATCATTCAGTACTAATTTATCCTTTAACTTCTTTTTTAAGAGTGTTGGATAACCTAAAATTTTATTAAAATAAATTTTAATAAATGTTGCTAAAATAATTAATATTTTCATATTTAATAATTTAAGTATTATTATTTATAAATATTCATCCAAAATTTATAAATTATTTTTTAAATATTAACTGGTAAAACTAGTTTTTTTATAAATTTATAGATGGCTTATAATTTTTTAAATATCGATCATATTTTTAATATTGATTAAATTTTTTAAATTTTTAGATCATTCTCTATAATTTATTTTTTGTTAACTAATGATTTTTTTCTAAAATATTATCCTACCTAAATTTAATACTCTTTGTATATTGCAATGTCATGTGTAAAATAAGAAACATGGTAAATTAAGACCAACATGTTAACAAAAATACTTATTTGAAAGATATCACTTGTCCCATTAATGTGCTACAGTAAAGTTTACTTAACAAGAGAATGACAAAAAAATGAGGGGAAAAACTACCTCCATTAATTTGAAGGTTTATTCCCTTCATTTTTAAATGCAAAGTTACAAATATTAAAATATTAAATTGGGTGATGCAATATTTTAAAAGAAGACCATTAATTAATAAAAAAATTATAGAGAAGGATTTAAAAAATTTAATCAATATTAAAAATATGATCAATATATATGAAAATTATAAGTTATCTATAAATTTTTAAAAAACTAGCTTGAACCGCTAATATTTAAAAAATAAATTATAAATAAATATTTACAAATATTAATATTTAAATTATTAATTTTTATTTTAACAAAACTTCAGAATATCCAGTGCTAAAAGACATGGTCAGAGTTCTACTTGTCATTACATGTGAGCCTCACATACATGTCATGTAATGTCCTACTAACATTACAGACTAATACTCAATATGCTTAGTTAAAAATTTCAAAAGCTTGGGATCCGAATTTAATATTATTTGCAAAATCATTTCAAATATGCTAAATCTCATATTTAATTACAACAGAAGTAATAAAATCATCTATATAAAGCAGGGGAAGAGAATAGAGGCAAAACGACAGTTTTAAATTGAGCTGAACCATATGCCACAGCATAAGGCACATGCACTATGACATGTGATAGAGTCGAGAGTTTTGGCACTGTGACATGCGTTACGACGCACATGATAGAATTTTACTGTTATGACAATTTGCAAATGCAAACTTTTGACATGTGCCATTTTCACATTCGATATCCGATTGAAGTGGTTCAAGCGTCTACATGAAGTTTATTTCAAAATCTATCTAATAACATTAGTTTTGTTTTAATCCAATATTTTGTTTGAATATAGGATACTTGAGTGCAAAATAATCATTTTAAGTTAATTTTTCTCACTCGAGTACTTCAATTTTTAACCACGTGTTATTGGCCATTTTTTAGGCCTTGACTACTTTCAAAAAGACATTTAACACCTAATTAACTAGTCATACATACAATACAATTTCACAAATATATACCAAATTGGACTTGAGAGGGTCCCACTCTCCGCTCCGCCAGGGACACTTGGGAGATAAATTCTGAGAAGAGGGATGGCGAGTAATACTCATAGTGAGAGAAAGAGACAACTCTATTATACTAATAAATAATAAAAGATCACATTAAATAATTAATAGGGAGCATAAACAAACTTATCTTATCATTTACTTAGTTTGGTGCTATCAATATTGCATTCTTTGAACAAGTTGCGTAATTGGGTTGAAAGCGGGCCTTCTTCACTCACAAACTCCTATTTAGCTCATTCCAAAGACAAACATAGGACCTCTATTAGCTAGTTATATATGGCTCCATCTTTAGTGAAAATTCTTTCCTCTTTTCGTGATTTTTTACTCTTTATTCAGCCAAGGTAAATTAATTATTTTAGTTGTGGAATTATTCACGAGCAAGAGATTTCAGCATAAATTCTCTAATTTATGGGATCTAATTGTATTTAAGTTATTTATGTGAAAACTCATTGTAATTTTCCCATAAAACTTCATCCAATCTTAACAAAGTAATCAAATCTATCCACTTATAAATAAATCTGTTATTGATGTCCACATGTAATTTTTCAAGAAATAAAAATATACGCACGGTGTTTGGTTGTTTGCTTTTTTTTTTTTTAACCTGGAATTACTTTCCTAAATGTTTCTTCTTTGCATGTGATGCCAACTTCTTCAATTTTTCTTTTTCACCGGGCACTATTGTGTCCATTTAATTTTTCTGTTTTCTTTTTTTTATTTACTCTTTTTTATCTTGTATCCTTTTTTCATGATAAAGATGCTGTTCTCCTTCGAAAAAAACGAAAACTTGAAAAATGAAAAATCTCAAATAGAATTGGATAAGTACGAAAACAATATCCCCTGATATCCTACCCATTTCTGTTTCAAATCACAGCCCTTTGCTGTTACTCACCAAGGCATCGACGCCCACTGACTTCCACAAGGCCCACAATCAAAGAGGTTGTAGCTATGATAGGTCGCATGTGATCTCATCCTCCAAAACCCCTCACTCTATAAGAGGCGAGATATTTTTTTTCCTCCTCCCTCAGTTCTTCGGCTTTAAGCCTAAACCCTAGCCGCTTCCATTCAAAGTTTATGCATCAAATCCGTCGCTTCCTTTTCTGAGGTAAACCCGTTCTTCTATCCTCAATCTCGTAAACGTCTCTGGTTTCTTGAACGATTTCATGTGTTTGTAAGCACATGTTTCTTCGGTGCTTCCTCTGAATTCCTCTGTTCTTTCTGATTTGTTTTATCGTTGTTTGACGTTATTACGGTTAATTATTTCTTTGTTAAGCCTGTCCGGGCTTAATGGGTTTTCATTTATACATAGGTGATTTTGTTTAATAAATTTGAAGAGTGTTTAGTGTTTAGTGGTTATTGGTTGGTATGTTTTCGCGCTTGTTCACTCGTTTCTCTGCGAGTTTTTGGTTGCGTCGGATCTGAAGTCCGAGATTCAATTATCTTCTTGATTCGACGCTGAAAAGTTTTCATCGATGGTTGTTTACGCATTTATGCTTTTGCCTGACATGTTTCTGGCTTGTGTGCGACTGGGTTAGCTTCAATGAGGGAGGGGTGGAATATTCTCATTGTGTTCTAGTGTTTTTGTTGCGAAAATTACTTTGTGTAACTAGGCTGTATATATCTTTAGTTGGTCATTCAAACTTTGTCGTTGTATTTTTTTAATCTCTATTGCTTATTTTGCTCAACTGTAAATGGTGACTGTGACTAGCTTAATAGTGCTTTGAGTTTGTTCTGTATGCTAAATTTTATGTTGGCTCTTTCCTGATTTCAGGCCATACACTTAGTTATAATGGCATTGTGTAATAAACTTGGGAGTCTATTAAGGCAGAGTGCCGCACGGAGCGGACATGTACCGGTTGGGTCGATGCTGAATTATGTTCGCTGCATGTCATCCTCTAAGCTTTTCATTGGCGGTATTGACTATTGCCGTAAGCTTCTATTTAGATTGAAGCAGCATATATGGGCGCTAATGTCTTGCAATTTTTTAGGCCTTTCTTATGGAGTTGATGATCAGTCTCTCAGGGATGCATTTACCAGCTTTGGAGATGTGGTAGAGGGTGAGTTAAGTTACTGTGTATATGTTGCGATCGCAATGAAGCGTTGTACATTGAACATGGATTATCTCAGAAGCTCAGAGAAATTTTATAGATTTATTTGTCCTTAACTTTTTGCACAACGCACTTTTGTTGGGGTTGTATGTTCGTACACGGTTATATTGTATCATTTGTTCATCACTTATTTCCCCTTGCCTGAGATCAGCTGTTCTTTGCCGTTTGGCTGTGGTTCTATTAGATAACAAGTCATTTTAGATGTGCTATTAGATGTTTGTTTCATGTGGGAGTATGTTTGCAGGATTATTGATGTAGTATCAAGTAAGGTACTAGCACCTTTAATTTTTTGGGGTATTTCACGTGGCTGTGACTAATCTAGCAGGGGTGGGATCTTCATTTTTCTGAGTTTATGGAAATGTCTTCTGGGGGGCATGTGTAGCTGGTGAGATAAGTGAGTGCTTCATTGTTCTTGGTTATAGTGTAGTAAAAATGGGATGAGCGTTAGTCAAGGTGAATCCCCTTGCCTGTTTGTAAAAGATGACCGCCTTGTCTTGTTATGTTTATGGGCATACTGATATTCTCCTTTCTGCTGCACAGCAAGGGTTATAACTGATAGAGACACTGGAAGGTCAAGAGGGTTTGGATTCGTTAACTTCTCCAGTGACGAATCTGCAAGTTCAGCTCTTTCTGCAATGGATGGGCAGGTTGGTATTTTTGTTTTGTTCTTTGATGTTGAATTTCATTTTACTGGGAAGAAACTCATTGACTGAAGTGGTCTTGGTTCAACAGGAGCTAAATGGAAGAAACATTCGGGTGAGCTATGCAAATGACAGACCACCTAGACCTCGATCCTTTGGTGGCGGCGGCGGATATGGTGGCGGTGGTTATGGTAGGGATGATGGAGGTTTTGGCAATCCATCCTTCTAAATATGCGGCACCTTATGCTGTGCTCCTCGTTTTATTGTGTCAATGTTAGTTCTTGAATTACTTGATTTTAGTCAAGTTCGTGTGACTCGGCAACTGGAGTTATAAAATTTCCTGAAGTTCATATTTATATGCATTTTTTCTGTGAATTCTATTATTCTTCAGGTAATCGATTTTTCAGATAATCGTTGTTTTGAAACTTCTTTAATGTTCTCTCCACATTTGAAATTACGCTAGTAATTCTTGAAGAGCTAGACAAGTCACTATCGCTACTTAGCTTAAAGGACGAGATTTGGGCAGTTGTCTTGAGCCCCATTCGTCGTTTTGTCATTTAAAATTGAAGGCCTACTCACCCAAAAAAAAAAACAAAAAAGGTTGAAGGCGTATTTGTATTTTAAACCAAAATGGCCTTTATAGATTCGTCGAAGCTAGATTTTTGACAATGTTCTCTAGGAAGCCGAAAGTGACGGAGCGAGGAGGAATTTTTTTTAGATCTTTGTTTTAAGATTGAGTGAATGGATTAATACTCCAATTTCTAAGCTTTGAAGGTAGGGGAGGAGAAGTCGGAGACTGTGTTTGGCAACACATTAGAAAGCAAATCATGACACCGGGCAGTCAAAGAAGCAATCCAATGAGATATATATATAGTGTATATAGTGTGTCTGTGTGTTTTTTGAATGAAAATGTGTAGCCATTAATTAAGGGATTACAAAAATGTGAAACAAGCGGAGGTAAATTAAATTCCTTTCGTCATCTATCACTTGACCTTTAGTGGAGAGGGTCTCCATTTTATCCCCTTCAATTCTCACCATTCAAATTATTTTATTAATTTTTTTAAATGATAAAATTAATGAATGGTGGGGATTGAAAAAATAGAGGGAAATGGAGGGGCAAAGAGTGGAAAAAACTCTTTACTTTCACGCAACAAAAGGTTTTAAAGTTTCCAACACAATCCTTTGGGTAGGGTGCCCAGTCGGGCAATAGGCATAGGATTTAGAGAAACTATACATGATCATCTTGGCCAGATGTAATGATGTCTTTAAAAGGGTGCTGATAATCAGATGTAAATTGATAGCTAAACCAGACTCGGTAAAAACTTGCATATTATCTACTCCTTTGCCACAGGAAATTTGAAGGCCACGGCAATTCCCCATAAGCTCAGATTGAGGAGAGTTTCCTATATTTGCTTTGAAGCCTACCACCCAGTTAGCGTTGGTTATATATATATATATATGATGAATATTACAACCTAGGCCATAAAGCTGGACCATAGCCTTAGCTATCTGCCTTGTGTTATCACCTTTTTCCCTTTTCTCCTTTGAACCTCAAATGCCTGACTTTGTAACCTCCGAAAAAAGGCCTAGGGGAACCCTTCCTCAGTATGACTAATGAAATTGCCACATTTGAGTAATAAGAGAATTCTCAGTAGATTCTAACTTCAAGCAGCCTACTTTAGCCGCATCTGGGGTTACTACTAAAATTTCAGTATTCTTGTGAGAATTGAATGAGATCCCTCCAACTTGACTTTCTTGCCTTGTTCGTTGTTTTTTTTTTCCCTCCCTTTTTTTGATATAACGTCTTGCTCGCTCTTTATTTCCACATTCAATTCCATTTGAAATAACGATGGACAACAGAAATAGTGGACAAGTCCACACTTTGTCCTCAAACGACCTCCACGGGGAGATTCAATGAAGAGGGAATCTTTTAAGAGTACATAGAGCTAAACGAACAAGTCCTTGGTACCATTACGCAGACAGGCCCAATAGATTTTTCAGGCTTTCTTTTGTTGGTATGAATGGGCCCACTCTGTGTGTCGGTGAGTGGCCTGAGCTTCTCAAACGGGTCAAACACTGACACATGACATTATCGACACATGCTTGAGAATGACTCTAGTCTCATATTTTTCAAGCTAAGTGAGATCTCATATCACATATTCACACATGCCTTTGTGATGACAAAAAGCTCCAATTTACAGCAAACTCGGCTCGGGGCAACGTGGCAAGTCCCGCCCGGTTTGTCCGCTTGCAGCAACAGCACAAACAAACAGAAAGCCTTCTCATTGTTTAGTGCCAATCAGTGTTCAAAACTTGGGATCAATACATTGTATATGCACCATCCACTCATCTTTCACACTCCTCATCTGATCCACTTGTATGATTCCCTCTCTCTTTGGCCCTCCGTTTCATGCTCCTTTTCCCCATTCTGCCAATGAGCTTGATTGATGTAACTCAACCCAATACAAACATCATTTCTCTTCTTCTTGCCCTGTTTCTGAAACTTTCTGTTATCATGTCTCTCTTATCCAACTTTCTTGACCCTGTCTATTTTGCCATACCAATTAGCTTCTTGATTAATCTCAAAATCTGGCTTCCTTGAGGTTGGGAGTCCTTCAATTAATTGGATCATAACCTCATCTTCCAAGCTCAGTTCTCAACTCAACCTGTGTTTCATTTCCCTTGAGAGAGTGTTCGGTGACCAAAAAAAAAAAAAAAAAAACAAAGAAAGAAAGAAAAAAAGAAAAATCAGGATGCACCGACTTCATATGGAAAAATGCTCTCTTTGGCATACAGTCTAATCACATCGATCTGTAAGCTGTAATTACAATATCAAAAATGTTAACATGATGTAATATATTTTATTTTATATTAATGCTCAAACATTAATATTGATCGTACATTGTACGCGCTTTATTTTCTAGTTTTAAAGCTTTTAATGAAACCTGATAAATGTATATGCAATTTATTTAAAAAGTGTATATTATTGAGAAGTTTTTTGGGACAACATTAAAAAGGTTGACTTTAATTGTAGATCCAACCACTTGCTTCTTCTGTGCTCAGATCTTTCTCAATCTAATAATAAATATTTTCATTCTGAAGAAGGTGAAGTGGGGAGTCTCAACCACGTTCTCCACGTAAACACTGTCAAGTCTATTGTTAAAATATTTGATAATTAATTGGGAAATAATTACTCGATAGTCAACTACTTTGATCCTTGAAATATATGTGAAAATGGAGTTTGAAATTGAAGTGATGCTGAGTTTGTTTGACCAGACAAGGGTTTGCCCTGGAACCTTCCTTTACTTGCGATGTTGCTTAAATATTGCAGTCAAAATTCCAACCTAAATTAGGTACAGCTCTATTTATGCTGTGGTAAGTGGTGTTTCCAATACTTGATGTATATATGTATTACTATAAAAATTTGACAAAAAATATGTGACATTGAAACCTAATTAATCAACGAAATGGTGGGAGAAGGTGGAGTTCGAATGGAACTTATTAATATTTTTGGATTATTTTTAACTAGCAACCTGTGGTGCTTAATTTTGTAGTTGTAAACTTGTAATCAAGTGCAAGAAGTAAAATTGTGTTTGCATATATTGAGTTAAAAAATGAGGTGCCAAATGCTATTGACCTATTGTATATTAAACTAAATTGATTTCATGTTTTACCAAACATCAAACGCATTTAATTTTAGTTTCTTTGAGTTCTATATGATTAATGGCACATTCTCTGGAATAAGGAAGGCATTAAATTAGTAGATTAATTGGTCATAAGAAAATTCATAAATCCAATATTAGATGAACATTTAGAAGCAATGAAGTCAAGAGGGCTCCCTAATGGACATGTCCCTAATTTTTAAATTGCTTTTACTTGATGACAAACATCTAATCTGTTGAGTCTCATTTTGTAATACTCAAACTTAGAGACCGCCAGTTTTTCAATAAGAGTTGAAATCTATAATGGGCTAGCACCAAGTCCTTTTCCAATTACACAATCGGCACTTGTTTTGAAGATTAACGACAAATCAAGATTTTTTCAAAAGATTTTAGTATTTAAACATGGAATAAAGAGCACACTGAATTTTGAGAGCTTTAATTGTGAAAAAAATCCAAACTTCACATTAATGTTTTTATGTGAGATCCTTATTTGTCATTTCTCCAAAATCAGTATTTTTTTATAATATTTATCATGTATTTATTATTTAATGCTATCTATATAATTTTATTACAGAAAATGATAATAAAATATCTTCAAATTATATAAATAATAATATGGTCCCTTAAAATATCATAATTCCACCAAAGTTCTTAGGAACTTTTATGTCAATAAATTTTAAATTAAAAATATCATTTTACTCTCATTGATAAGTTGTGATTTCCTATTCAACTCATATAATTTTTTGAATAAAGTTGTTATTATTTAAATAAAAATTATGATTGAGACTTGTTATTTTAAAAACTTATTTTAACTTGACACGTTGTGATTACATAACAAAAATTATTATTTTCTTAAGCAAAAGCTGTTATTAGAGCTAGTTATTTTGAGAACTTATTTTTTAATAACAGAAATTATATTTAAAAAGTTATGATTTCTTATTCAACTCTTATAATTCATAAAACAAAATTTTTATACTTCAAAAAAAAGTTATGATTGGGAGCTTGTTATTTTCAATAAAGGTAAACAGATATTTTTACTTTAAAATATATTGACACAAAAATTCTTAAAAAATTTAGTGAAATTGTGGTATTTTGATAGATTAAATTGTTATTTATATAATTTAAAAGAATTTTATTGTTATTTTTTTCTTTTTATTATTTCTTAACTTTCAAGTGAATTTAACATGATTATTTTTTCATTTCATGTTATTTATTTCTTGTCTATTTTTAGATGTACGTAATGATTTTACATATCAATCAACTCATCAACTACTATCAAAAGTGTCATCGAGAGAACAGTTCGATGCTTTGGAGATTAATTCTAAATTTTGAATAAAGACACAAATCTCACCCACCCTAATCAAATTTTCGCTTTAAAAATGTAGGGTTGGGAGATAACGATCATCATTATATTATTCATACAATAAGAGGTTAATATTTCGTTAAAAACGAATCAGTGGTGTATTGGGTATTATAATGGGCAATCTATCTTTTTGGTCGACAGATACAAAAATATCTTTCTTTTATCTTTTATAAATTATCACTAAGAAATTAAGTTCTTATTTTCTTTTGCATGGGACATTTAAAATTTTAGGATTTTGGATTATCTATCTAAGAAAATTGAAAACGAACCGCTTATATAAATTGAGGCCCCTTCACACAATTTATATATATTGACATTGAAAATTTCAAAGAATTATTATTTATTATATGTTGATAGTGATTCATAATCGAGATAACTTGTTAGAATTGTGTCTGTGTGCTATTCCCTATAAATGTCGTTGACATGTCTGGCCTCATTTGTAGTTTTTAACTTGTAAGTTGTAACCCTCTCATGAATGCGCTATTATTAATTAATAATAATTAAGTTTAATTTCAATATCATTCTGCTGGACGCTCTTTAATTTGGTAGAATTGAGCGACAGATGAGATTTATATAAATATATGTATTTTAGAACCAAAGATCACGCTGTCCCCAAATATAACACTACAGAATAAAACGGCATCCTACAATATATAAAATAACTGCATCAATCCCAGTGAGTGCTGATCAATTTGGCTGAATACATAAATTTTATATTTATTAATTCAATGCTATAGACTATACATCTACTACTGGCTATTGACCTCAAAGTTGAGAGCGTGTATTGGACAACAACATCATCACAGATTCTGATTTGTATTCAAACACCCAGCAAGCACTACCTTGTCTCTCTACATGTGCCTTCCTCATACATGTACTAATTGCACCTTCAATTCATTTCAATTCATTCAATTCCAATTTAAATTATTCTATAGGTTACCTTTTTTTTTTTTTGTTATTAAGTCTTCCAGATATCATTCAACACTCCTGTTTCCTTTTACTAACTCATAATCTCATGCGTTCTTTTATTTATATTTTGAACATAAGCCTATGTTTTAGTCGCTCGCTTAATTAGTTTTTAACAACCTAAAATGGACTTTTAAGATTACAATTAAAGAGGTCTAGGTAGTGAAATTTAAAATGATAAACAGTAAATATATTTAAAAAAAATAAAATAGAATAAAGTGTATGGGGCCGGTTGATGATATATTGTTGGTTAGCTGGAAGTGCGAATATATGTGGAGATGGAGAACAGAGTACAGTGGGGGGGTTGAGATTCCATCACTCCGGCACACATGCATGCATGTTTATGGAGTCAAAAAAAAAAAAAATGAACAAATTAAAGAAATATATAAAAGGCAAAATATGTGACTGCAATTAACACCGGCCATTTCCTTGATTAATTGAATTAATTAATCCCTCCTGCCCCAATCTGAACGAAACCCCCCCGCACACAACACATATAACCCACCGTAATATGTATGGTTAAACTAGCTATAAATGCTTTGCTTAACTTTGATGAAGTGAAGATACAAAAGCATGCACCTGATTGTTATATCATGTATCCATGTATTGTCGTTATATAGTACATAATGTACATTTAACCGAAGCTTAATCTCACAAGGATGCATTTTTCCCGGATGCCCAAACACCACCAATGAGCACCATTTGTTTCGGGCAAATCACCACTGTATGCCAGATACAAAAAACGTACATGATCACCACCGTATCAGAAATAAATAAACGAGTAAGAATACTATAGACGAATGTAGTTAAGCAGCTGGGGATGATTGACAGAATGTCAAGCAAAGTGATCGCGGACAAATTTCTTTCGGACTCTTTATGCCTGATGATGATGATGATGAGGCATCTCCAAAAGGCAAATAATAATCCAGAAAAGCAAAGGCTCAATCATGAGGTATACAGATAGAAAAGGAGGAAAATGAAACTTTGAAAGAAAGAAGCATGCATGTATGGTGAAACTCGTAATAAATTTGTTGAGATATTTTGCAAGAATATAGATCCAAGGGCTGAGATCTACAGCCTTTGCAGCAGACCCCACCCGCCATTATTACACCAGCACCTCTCTCGCACATCTTACACTTTCCTCTTTTCTTCCCCCCAAATCCATCGCCTCCACTTCTCCTGTACCAATCTTATATGTGTCCTTACATTATATGTCTCTCTATTTTACACCATCATTATCTTCACATGACTTGATTCAAAAACAAAAAACAGTTTAAAAAAAAAAAACCAATAACTTAACCAGTAAAATATATAGAGATAGAGAAGAAGAAATGCTGGGATGATAATGATCAAGCGGATTCCTCGGGTTGCTGCTGGCTCGCATGACTTTCCTTTTTCACCCTCGACTGGATCCCGTAATAACTGACGTACCACTTCACGAACTTCTTCAGCCCCGTTGCCAGGTCGGTGGTGGGCCTGTACCCGAAGTCCCTGTAAGCCAGGCTCACGTTCGCGTGCGTGAATGGCACATCGCCGTTCCTCGGCATCGTGATCACGTGCTTCTTCGCCTTCTTGCCCAGCAGCCCTTCCAGTATGGACACCAGCTTCCCCACCGGCACCGGCGACGTGTTCCCCAGGTTGTACACCCTCAGCTGCGCGGGTCTCCGCTTCTTTCCCCCGCTCCCGGTGCTCTTCTCCGCCGTGTCCAGCGCTCCCATGCATCCTTTCACCACATCGTCGATGTAGGTGAAGTCACGCGCCACCTCCTTCGCCTCCTGCGTCTGGTAGATATCGATGGTCTTCCCCTGCAGTATGTCCTTGGTGAAGAAGAAGTACGCCATGTCGGGTCTCCCCCAGGGTCCGTACACCGTGAAGAATCTCAGGCCGGTCAGGGAGAGTCCGTAAATGTGGTTGTAAGTGTGGGCGATTTCCTCGCCCGCTTTCTTGGTGGCCGCGTAGAGACTCGCCGGCTGATCGGTCCGATGCAATTCGGAGAAGGGGTTCTGCGTGTTCAGACCGTAGACGGAGCTCGAAGACGCCCAGACGATGGCGGGCTGGGGATTCGCGGCTTTGGCGATTTCCAGGAGGTTGACGAATCCGGCAATGTTGGAGCTCACGTAGGACTGCGGGTTCTGCATCGCATAGCGAACGCCCGCCTGAGCAGCCAGGTGGAGGATGTGCGTGAAGGGAACGACGTCGAATAGCTTAGACAGCAAGGGCGCGTCGTTGAGGTCGCCTTCGACAATGAAGATCTGGTGCTTGGAGAGGAGCGCCTGTCGGGCGCGCTTGAGGGAGGGATCGTAGTAGTCGTTGAAGTTATCGAGGCCAAGAACGCCGTCGCCGCGCTTCTTGAGGGCCAGGGAGCAGTGGGTGCCGATGAAGCCGGCGGCACCGGTGACAAGGACGGAAATGCCATTGGGACGGCGGGGGGCGGAGGAGTGGCGGACGTGCTTCTCCCAGGAGGCGCCGGCGCCGTAGAAAGCGGAGGAGAGGAAGTTGTTGTGGGTGTGGAAATGGCGGGGGGGATTGGGATTGTCGGAAAGGGGAGGATAGTTGAGGGTGAAGAGGAAGACGAGGACGAGAGCGACGAGGAGAGTGGCGCGGAAGAGAAGCTTGGAGGAAGCACTGAGGAGCTTGGTATTGTTGAGGCGGCGAAGGTAGCTGTTGTAACGCTCGAGCTTAATGGTCTTGCTGGTGTCGGGCGGAGAAGCCATTGGATGGTACCTGATAGAATGGTGAGAGGGGCTCCGAGAAGGAAGAGACAGAATTGAGGTGAGAGCCCTGAAGCAGAGAGAAGGACGAAACGGGTCATATAAAGGCAGAGGCGGTAGGGAGGGGGCGTGGGGGGAGAGAGAGAGTCTGTGTGAAGGCGTTGGTTGGAGAGCACCTTCCTTTTTCTGTTATTAACTCTTATCGCTATCACACTCACACCAAGTATTTCCTATTTGTGGGTTGGCTTTGGCTAAATCATGTTTACATGATGACATGTGATGAGGAAGTAGAAGTGTACAGAAACATGGGATGGAAGGCGCCCTAGTATTGCAAGGCAGGATCGAGTGGGTTAATCAGTTTGGGGTCGCTGTAATGGAAGCGAGCGAGCAATATTACAATATTACAATATTATATCAGACAGCGTAATCACAATTCGGAGATTTGCTAGTGAGGTAAGTGTTGGTGTGAAAATTGTTGGCTCAGGTGATTTGCAATGTTATTGGTAATGGAGAGAATGGGTTGGGGGCAGAACGGGGAAACGGGGAAAAAGAAGAGAGGGGCCATGTGAGGTTCCCGTGTTCCCGTTTTGGACTTGTGTGTGTTGGACCAGTAACTGACTGATTTCTGATTCCGATGAATTTAGGCCACCCCCCATTCCTTCATTCATCCCATTTCATCTAATCAACCCTTTCCTTCACGGATATACGTAATTGTTAATGCAAATATGTCAAGCTTCATCATTAGTGGTCAGATTAATTGTGAGCCCACTGATCCCCCCCCCCCCATGGTCCACCGACACTGCTACAGACCGTCCACATCGTCTTCCTCATTACTCTTGCATTCATTTATTTAATGTGAACACTCCAAAATTAAAGCAGACATAGTTATGAAATTTGTAAACCTCGCCATAAAATCATGTTCAACTTTTTTGTTTTGTCGTGTCCCATGTGTTTATTTCCATTTATTTTCAAGAAAATTATATTTACCGCCCCTTCTGCTTCCTATGAACATTCTTAATTCCATCTTCTCACATGGGATTTGTCCACAATAAAACTTAATTGTTGATTCCACATGTTAATTTGGGCCTCTTCTTCTTCTTTTTTATTTTTTAGCATAGCTAGGCTGGAAAAAATAAAAACAAAAAATGATGATGGGATTTGATCACATGGAACTCGCCGCTTGTACGCGAGTGCTCTCTGGCTCTATATAGGCATGCCGCGGACTGTTTGGTTTTATGATTTGTACAGTTGAATAAAAATAAAAAAAAATTTAAGCTGACTTTTAACTTTATCATATTGCTTGAATTCAACGCTAAACTTCAATGGGTTAATTTTATATTTCACAATCAAAATATAGCCAAATTTGATTAGACCGATCTCCACTTTCCCAATAACAGTACTGGTATAGGAAAGGTCGATCCATTTCCTATATCTATGTGTCTTCAACTCAGCAGTGAAAACTACATTTTGTTGCTCCACTTAACCGGTTCTTTTGTATACTCACCCTTGATTTCTATATCTTATCTTACTTTTTAAATGAATGACTTTGATGATGTTGCTCAGTTCATGAGAAAATTAAACAACACTAATTTTTGCCAATAGTTTGGTTTCTTTCATGGCTTAGCTTATAGATTGAGTGACACTTCAAAGTTACGTTGGAGAATCGAAAGGAGTTCTACATTTTATATATTGGCACTCGAACCTCGGCAGCTTAACTCTGAACAAACTTTGTTTTCTTTTTGGGGGAAAAAAAACCTGATTAATGCTATATGTTTTTCATCCAAACAAGATATTATTTGAGCCTCGAATGTTTAATTTAAGGCATACTTTGAAGACATTTTTTTTATCCTTAATATAATTGTAAAGAAGGGTAAAATTTGAAAAGTCACATACTTTTTTTTTAATAATTTTTAAAAGATAACTATCATTTCTTAATAGGTTGGTTAAATTTACCTTATATTAATGATTGGAGGGAGTATAAAATTAGCTTACCATACTTGACCAAGTTGGCTCATTTATTATCTCTCCTCGCGAGCGCATAACTAAAAAATTATGAGAAATGTTTTAGACAAAGGCAAATTATTTGTTATAGGAGAAACGGAGGGAACCAGCACATAACAGAACAAGAATAAGTTAAATTCAGGCAGGGAAAAAAAAATCAGAATTACAATACTGAGACAAGTGCATGGATGCATCTGGTTCGAAGGTCAATTAACACGCGCATGGAGTCGTTTTCAGCCCGTAAATAAATGGCTAGAGCTTTAATTAACTTGATCCTGACATTAATTGATTACATTTCGCTAACAAATCTTAATGATCCATGCATGTTAAATCAACCAAGCTAAGTACGCTGTTCGTTGAGTTAGTTAATACCCCTCTCCTTCAGCTTTCTTTTTCTTCGCCTCCAACACATAGTACATATTTTTCATTCTCTCTCCCATACTCGAACCTTCCTTGTCAAAGTTCAACACAATTTCTGAGGCACATTAATTCAATTTTTTTTATCATACACTGTCCAAAATTAATTTTATGAATTGACTTGCATGTTTTGAGACCATTGGCTATTGTTCTAACGAAGAGAATGCAAAAGGCATGGGCTGTGCGATTTAACGTTTGCATTAAAATAGAAAGGTTGGAGAATGTAGAAGAGAGGTGTGAAGGAGAGAGCTGATTTGTTTGCTTGATTACCTGCTAGTTAATATAAAATATTGACAGATAGATTTGGGTAATTGATGATATTGAATGCGGTATAAAACATGTGATAAAGAAATTGAAAGAAGATAGAAATGACAAATGAGAAGGATACACTGGACACGCACGGCGGCCCATGTGTTTTGATGTAGGGACATGACGTAGTGCACAGAAAGCAAAGCGTATTAATGAGTTGATCTTTGACACACAGATGCTATCAAAATTGTCTCAAGCTGAGGGCTCTCTCTATATGAATCCTGAAGCAGGAACTCATGTATAGGAGGATATGGTATCAGAGTTTTAACTGTTCGTTTGTTTTAAAAGCGTGTCAGGTAAAGAAATCTTAGATCTAATTAATACGAACAGAAGAGGTGTGGACGAGGGGAAGAGAATGAAGGACGAAAATAATGTAATTTGATAATTGAAGTGGTTCACATAGAAGTAAGAAAGGGAAGGCAATGCAGAGAGGGTAATGGAAGGGCTTCACATGGAGCATGCAGTGTTGAAATGATGTATATAGAACGATGCAGCCCAGAATCCCACACAGACATATATTTGCGTTCGTTATTATGTTCTCCATTTGTATGCTGAGCACTCCTGGGCCTGTAGTAGAATAATTTATAACTGATGTAGACATTAAAATGCAAGTTTTGCGTGTACATATAAAATGAAATGAAGGAAATGAGAAGATGTGGCAGTGAGGGCACTGGAAAAGAGAAGAAGAATGGAGATGTGGCAGTGGCTACTGCTGGCCTGGGGACCTAAATTCCCAAAGGCTGTCTTTTTGTATCTAAACATTTCAAGATGTTGCGTTTCCCTCTCCTTTTAATTTCTGTTAATTTATTTGATACTTTTTTAAAAAAATAATGGGACTTTTGCTTGTGGCCTGTGGGAGAAGTATGAGTTGGCGGTGATGAGGGATGATGTAATAGCATAAAGGTCGGTGGGGTCCATGTATTGAACACTGGAGGGAAATCTCCAAGAAGCTTCTTCACATACTAAAGGCAGAAGGGCCGATGCCACAAGGCACAACAGGGTACCTTACAACACATGGCCTTGTCCTCTTCACCTTCCTCGCATTTTCATTCCATGCCATTGCCAATCCATCACTCCTTTTCTTTCTATTCCTACTACTGTTTTTATTGCACTCAAATACTGATTTTATTTTTAAATTATAAATCCAAAAATGTCTAACAACAAGAATCATAAATAATAATGGTTTGTTTGGCAAGCTATTTTTCAAAATCTGTGTTTGTTGAGCATTCGACTTAAAAAAAATAAAATATTTTAATATAAAAATATTTTAGATCTCGTATTTATAAGCCTGACCTTAAAGAATTTGAGCTCCGGCTAGCAATTAAGTTCTTATATTTTTTTAGTAATTTTATTTATATAGTTTACTTAAAATTTTAAATTATATTAATGAGAATAACACAAATTATTAAATACTTCTTCCAAGTGATAAAAATGAAGTTAATGATGTTGAAATTGCACCACTTCTTCCAAATAAATCTCCTAAAAGGTGTAGTGTTTTATTTTAAAATGAAAATCAAAGATAATAATAACTAAAGAATATTTATATTTTAGAATTTTAACTAAGGTACTTTGCAATTTATATATGTATTGATATAATTAACAATTTTAATTAAAAAAATTTACATGAGCTTTTAGGCCCTACCTTGAGCTGTATCAGTAAAGGTTAGGGTTAAAAAAAAAATCAATTTTATGGCAACAGGACTTATAGGCCTAAATCTTTAAAAGCTGAATTTTTAAGGGCCAAGCATATAAAAGTTGGGTCAACTCTTATTAACAACTCTATCTAGGATTTTAAACTTGTTTTTGATATAATGTTTTCCTTCAATTTTTAAAATGGTGCAATGTCATTCTTGTCATTAACAAAAATTAAATTTCACTGTTAATTAACCTAAAACTGATAAAAAAGACTTTAAAAATTATAGAAAATTAATAATAATAATAATAATAATAATAATAATAATAATAATAATAATAATTGTTAATTCATATTACCGCTGCTCGTATTTCCGGCATTCCATTGTCTGAGATCGCAAATACCAATAGCCAATGTACATTCTTTTTTCCCTGCAACTTCATGAGTATCTATATATTTCATTTGTTCAAATATCTCCCCTCAATCATAAGGCATGCCAATAAAATATTAGGTCTTCAGAATAATGAGAATTGAACAAATTAAATTAACGCCTGACAATCTTATCATATATATATATATATATACACACATATATATGTATATATATTCATTGGGGTCTCCAAAATCTGATTCTAAATCGAGGATTGGTTTAAGGTTTGGCCTCGGATGGGGAATGTTTTGCCTTGCTCCATGGATTTTCTAATTAATTAATTAATTAATCAATGATTTCGATTTTAAACCCAAAATCATGCGTCCATATATAACCGTTGGGTTTTTTTTTTTCAAGAAAAGAACCAATTTTATTAATCACCCAAAAAAAAAACTACAACATCAATAGCTGAAACTAACAAACACTTGAAAAAAATCTAGATATAATGTAACACACAACTCACATAAAAAACCAAAAACAATCCAAAAAAAATTAAAACCAAACAACATTCTAAACAAAGAAAGCAATATCAACCAATTCTATTTTTAATCCTATGAAAACAATAAGCAAAAACAATAGAATTATTACTTTATGCCAACAAATCAGCAAGCAACAATTGCCATTATCATAAGATACTTTTAAACTACTTTGTTCTTATATGATCTCTATATTTAAATATTTTTTAATACTTATTATAAAATGCTTTCAATTATATTTCATTAAAATAAAGGAATTATAATTAAATCATTAAATATGTTTTAAAATAAAAAAATTTACTTTTAAAAATTAGTGCCTTAAACTAATTTTTTTAATTTTATTCCTATTAAAGATAGAAAAAGAGATATACCATATACGATAAGCTATAAAATTAAAAAATGGTAATACATAACTCTCCTTGTGTCTTTTATTGATGAGTAAATAATCCTTGTAGAAGATGTCATATGATAAAGATTAGAGGGAGTATAAGAAAAGTTAAGAAATATTTCTTGCTCTTAAACATAAGTTAAAAAAAAAATTCCCTTCATATAATATCATGAGATATTTTTAACTGAATAACATGATCAGCGAGCTTAGTTAGTTAATTTCGATCAAAATTATTTACTTTTGTATGTTTATCCTTATTTAATATGTCTGTCTATTAAAAAATTTTATTAATTGCACACATAATTTGGATATTAGTAAAAAAAATTTTATTAATTATATTTTGAAAGACTCAAAATATTTAAAAAAATTCTGTACTTTCCAATGTATGCATTAAATACACGCTTCTCATTTTACTCTTTATTAGAAATAGTAAAAGTAGTAAGTGTAATTAAATGTGTAAATATTATGCAATGTTATTTTGGGAAAAAAATTAAATCGCTACATAATTAAAAGAAATGACTGTTTTTGAACAGCTTTTCTTAAAAATATGAAGTGGTTACTCCCTTCAACCTGATTTAGGAGAAAAAGAGAGAAGAAATTTTTCTATCCTTGTTATAATTAAATCATGTCATAATTCCAGAATTTAACAGTGACGCTTTGCCATTCAAATTCATTCCTAATAATCAAATGTCTTCGATGGCCATCCATAGAGGAGAGGATTTTTTGCGCCTTTATGGGCAATAATTCGTCAACATCAAACATGGGAAAGCACATTGTATTATTGAGAGAAGTCGCTCGTAGTATATTTATTGTCTGTATGATACAACTTATAGCCATTAAGATTGAGAAATGGAGTGGGAGGAACCACCCAGGTCTTAGGTCTTGTCTTGGATAATAAAGTCAAACGCACGGTCCCACCACTCCGTCGGATTATTCTAAAATCTGGATTCACTCTTGAGCCCAAAGCTTGCATTTTCAACACTGGACACTAATGCTTTCCATCTTTGGAATTCTCTCGTGTTGATGCTTCCATCCATATACTACTTACTCTGTACATACATTATTAATGATAAAAATTAATTAATTAACGGGAACCAAATAGACTTAAATAATCAAACTCCCGGAGAAGAATGCCAAACGGATGCAATGATTGAAAGGGACGAGGGTGAGTTTCGTGGGTCATAATTGGTTGCTTTTTGCCCATGAAAATAACTTAACTACTCAAAAGAGTACATTATCTAAACGCGACACATTTCACTTTCCATGTCCCAATTCCCAACACGATACGACTCGCACTTGCCATTTCAATTGTCGTTTTCCCACTCTCAATTCCTTCTCTCTCTGTCGGCACCACCCCCATCCTCCTTCCTTCCATAATCTTTCTCTGTTTATGTTTTCCACCCCACACCCAGTGTCTCATCACAGCAACTGATCAGATCGTGATCCAACGCACTTATAATGATTGATCCCTTATTCTCTTTCATACTTTGCATTCTTTGACTAATCTTTTATGCTTGTTTAAAGGAACTAATTAAAATGGCTCACAACACTTCCCTGTTTCTAGTTCCTTCCATACGCATTGCATGCCAAGCTGATTTCATGGTTCGTTCAGTTTCAAATATGCACTGATCCAATGAAGTAATCGCTTCCACATCTAAGTATAATTTTACGCTTATCGTGCACTGACCCTGCTCGTTGGCTCGTCTCATTATTTCTAATCCTAGCAGGTTTCATACTATACTAATTCCCTTTTAATCGTATTCCCCCTTCTTAGACTCCACACCAATCGTAGTCGTCGTCATTTCAAATTTTGATAAAAACATATTCTTTAACCACATTCTTCTCTTCTCTTGTGCTTGTTTTCTTTGTCTTTACTCCTTACCTATATTCACATATACATCCTTACAATTACAAGCTTCAACTATTTAAACCTAGATTTTAAAGTGGACTCCGGTTCACTTGACAATGGTTTCAAACTCTGACTTTTGGATATTCGTTTGGGTAGTAACCATCTCTCTGTCGAAATTGGGTATCTCAATTTATGCTTGGTCTTATCAAGGTGGTTGGTGTTGATACCAATACTGATGTGAATTGTCGGATCATAACAAATTAAATAACGAGTTCCCTTTTATTTTCGGGGCAGATAACGAGCATGATATGGGGTCTTTCAGATGCTCCGTCAATTAAAACAGTGCAGAGTTTACTAAATACAAAGTATCTAGGTGCCCCTGAAGCAAATATTTGACCTTGCAAAATGTCACAATGCTTACCCACACCCCTTAATTCTATCATTACCACATTGCATGACACGTTTTTTCAACCACAGCTACGCGTAAGTCCAAGATTTTCAATTGTTTTTTTTTCCCTTAATCATTTGCTTTCCATGAAAGTAATTCACAAGGTATCTTCATTGAATAGACAAATGCATGTAGCCTCATGGAATAGCAACTCCAATTTTGATGTGAGAAAAATCTCAAAAACGGACATTTTCTACATGCGAAATTATAAATTAATATGGAATGGAAGGTATATTGATGACTAAACAATTTCGTCTCATTGTTGCTTTATATCTCCAACTGTCTCCTCAGCTGGAGCTAGTTGGGGATCCGGGAGTTCGCTAATCACCTGCATTAGAATAAAGTAATGTTCTTCTGCTTAATGATAAAACAGATATCGACCACAAAATGACGATGATATGGCTAGAACATAACGTTATGTAGCATCATATCACAATAATACTTGAGCAGCGTTTAGTACCTGATAGAGATACCAAGAAGCATAAGCATCTGTAGCAGCATACTCTAGTTGCTGCACCGATAGGGGAAGAGCTTCCCAATTTCCCAGTCTTATTTTGGAGGGTTTCTTCAGCTGCAAATTTACATGTTCAATATTAATATTGGCAATTGGAATGTTCCTAAGATACGCAGGTTGTCAAGGAAAAGGTCATCGTCTCAAAACCCACAAATTGCACGTCTGTTGTCTGCAAGTGGGACTCGTTAAAAAATGGTGACAAAATGTATGTTCGCAATAATTAGTCGGCACACGCTACATAGAAGACTGCATTAAAAAAATGCATCAACGAAAAAAAAAAAATAAAGGCTTCCAAATTCCAATTTCGAAAACACATTCCTGGTTCAAGTGTTGGTTTGGTACTCTGGTCTGGATTACAGAAACCGGATTTAAAACAGACCTGTTTGGATAATAGTTTCTCAGTCAATGATGAAAGACCGAAGTTCTGAATATCTCCAACTAGCTTTTGTTTTGCACGAAAAGAAAGATCTTCGATGCCTTCGATGGATATTTCATAATCTTTAAAAAACTTGCGAGCATCACTACCAATGCCAACCCCAACCTGTGCATGTCCATATACCATGGCATTGAATAGTTACAATCAATGGTTAATGACCATAGATAGGAAGATCAAAACAAGAAAAAGAAAAAAGCTTTCATCTTGAAAATTTATGAACCTTTAAAACTGTAGGGTCTTCAAGCAAAAACTTGAGACTTGGTGGGATTCCAGAATGGATTATATGTAGAACGTGACAGCGATCAGTGCCATCACATATCTGCATCACTGCTACTTTCCCATTCGGAACACCTATGAAAAGTTTTACATAATATTGATTCAATAATTGTGATCTTCTCTTACATAGAATTAAGGCTTTCCGCGGTCAGAAAGGAAAGGCTATTCTCCAGACAAGGAATCCCTTTCACTACAAATTGGTCAAGTGAACCGAAAGTTTACAGCTAACCGATATAATATTTGGACTATATGGAATCATGCGATAGAGCAGGAGACAAAGCCTCATAAAAAGTAACCCTCTCCATCATTTTAAACCAATAAAAATATCATCACCACCGAATGCAGGCACAGGAACACAACCTAGTTTACAAGATAGCACCAAATTTTATCCAAAATAGATTTCACAGGACTGGACCATGAGAAATAATTGGAAAGCTTTGCAAGTCTAGTTCTTCTCTTCAGTTTTAGATAAATTGAACATCAAGAAATTCTATTTTTTCTAGTATTAGTTATAATATCTCCTTAGGCTGTTGGTTGTATTCCAAGTCTGTGTACAAAACTTGGTGCAGTAACTCTTGAGAATTTCACAAAGTTATACAACAGTAGCAGCAGCAACAAACCTTATTTCATTAGATGGGGTCAGCAACATAGCAGGAAGTTCCAAGACTACTGATATCATAATTGTAACTAAACTAGTCAAGGCCATTATGGATACTTTGCATAACTGTAACTGCTTGAAGAGGGCCTCGTTTGAAGAATTGTGCGACTAGGGTCTTCTGGAAATTGGGATCTTACACAAAGAATCGTGGGATTTTGGACATTGCACAAGGAAAAAATTTCTAGTTTTAACTTTAACAAGAATTTCTTTACACTCTAGGACTTTTAGGATTTTGCCTAAAAGAATCCTATCCAAAAGGCACTGACTCTATGAAGACATTGACATTATCCACCAATCTAGCCCAACCCAATCAAATTTCAATGCTTGGTCCTTGCTAATGATAATGAACAAATGAAAGGCATCAAGTGAATTGCCTAAAATACAGTTTTGCTAGACTTTGCCATCATAAACATGCTTAAAAATGCCTCCTAGATAGTTATTTTATTTAATACATTCGTAAACTAATCTTGTAAAAGTAGCAAGACTTGAATATCCCTATCGATCTTTCACCAAATAAAACTGCAAACTATAAGACAATATGAGAATGGAGAGAATATGTGAACTTTGAAGGAAACCTGCAGCAAAACAAACTCCTAGAGCAGCTAGACAGTTGGATGACACCCCATCTTTAATGTCACATAACAAATATAACAGAGAAGCGCAAAATTTAATAGGTCAGAATCAGCAGCAGATGACCTTAAACAATCCAAGGAGTGTGATCCTACAATGTTCTAGGAAAACACTAAATGCACCTAAATAAGAAACCAGTTACATGTATGACAGCAGCTCGTGGGATGAAATTTAATCAAGATCAATTGTCAACCCTCCATCCGAGGTCTTTAAATTATGTGGCACCAAAGATGTAAATGCAGTCATTTTTGTAGGCCTAATGCAACCAGCAAAATCATGAATTTAAACAAACAGCTAAACTAACCTCTTCTAAATGAGGGTCTCCACTCAATGTCAAGCCCAAGTGCAATTTGTTCTATGTTTCTTTTCTTTGCATCCAGCACGTTTAGGAGCTCTAGTGCAGCTTTCTCTACACCATTGGCAGTTTTACTGTACATGATTTTGCCAGCAAACTTCATTATAGGTAATCTCATCTTTGAATAGCCTGTAAAAGAAAAATAAAAGTATTCCAAACCCAAAAAGAAAAATGAGATGAACTATAAAGCTCAGTTTATTTAAGGTACAATTCTCAGGGAAGAAGAAAAGGAAGGTGTCAAGGCTTTCCAACGAGGTGAGCAATATCTAGAGGTCCCCCACCTCCACAGTCACATAAGTAATTTACAGCTATGTCGACATTGCAGTTGTATAATCAGATGGAGGTCCTTTCAAAACATCACACTAAATAGAATGAGGGGTCACTTGGTTCAAACTTCAATTTCACTGGAAGTTGATTTTTTTTTAAATAAATATATTTTAAAATATTGAAGACATAAATACCCTCTTATTTTCATAGTTTTTAAAAAAATAATATTTAAGGGCATTTTTTTGGAAAAAAAAATTTAGAACACAAGGAAAATATAAATTATATGATTTTTACTCAGAAAGTTGCCTTCCTCATTATCTAGGAAGTTGGGCTTCCAATTCCAACTTTTCGAAAGCTTTATATTTTTTGTGAACCAAGTAACAGCAAGTGATCCACTTCCTGAAAAAAAATAAACTACACCCTTACTTGTCCCAAACCAAGCGACCTTTAGAATTCAAAATAGTATCTGGCTCAAGCCTTAGTAAATAAACAGCAATTAGCATATCCCCCCTTCCTTAAGGGTAGAGAATTGAGAATCAGGCTGCCAAGTACCAGTACACGAAGACTGTAGAATTTTTTTTTTTCCAATTGTTAAAAGACAATAAAAAACTGTTATCGATTCCAAGATGAATTAACTACACTAGATAGTTAGCGATGCACCATTAGCATCTGTCATAAACAGTGGTGCACATTTCCGCTTAGCACAAATGTGAGCATGAACACAATGTAATTTCAGCAACAGAAGGAAAGGAATGAATAGTTCAAGCTGACATCTGAAATCCAAGTTTCCCATAACATGAATTCCGAAAGAAGGCCAAAAATTAGAAGCACTTTGAGAATAAGAGGAAAATTCAATAAAGAAAACAGATCAAAATATGATAAGCAAAGATGGAATCAGCACAGAAGGAATAACCATGAAGTGTTGCGTTTAGTTCGACATAATGCCCGAAGCTTTGTGATCCAAGCGTAATGTGCATTTTGTCTAATGAATTAGAAGCCGCAGAAGTAAGAAGGGAAAAAAGTCCAATTCTTTTTGTCTTATATGCATTTTGTCATATTACTTGTTCCAAAATTCAAAAAAAAAAAAAAAAAAAGACCCTGTGAACGACATGAAACAATACATCGCCATATATTGAACGGCCTCGCTATATATTAAGAGGGGAAAAAAAACAAAAAGAAGTCTAACAAAGTTAAATGACTGATAACTGACTTGACCACTAGAGTTGAATCAGATACCTAATCTGCAGAACTGAATAGAGACTAACCCTAATTCGAAAACTCCCGAAAACAATCTCCGAGAAAATAATCTCATGAACAACATTTTTCAATTAAAATGGAAGCAGGGGCGAGTGAAATCGAAGTGAGGAAATGAGTTTGAGAGAGAGAGAGAGAGAGAGAAGAAAACCTTGACAAGGTGATAAGGAAAACGAAAGAGGGTGCTGAAGAGCGATAAGAGATTTAGGCAAACGGCGGCGGATGGAACGTGAAGAATCGCTGGTTGGAGTTGAAACACCTGGGACGCAGTGATCTTGGGTGGAATTGAAAGGACGTTTGCTTGAGAGAGAAGATTGAAATTGAGCTTCGATGGCTTGGATGGCATGTAGATCTTGTTCCGACAAAGGTTCGTCTTCCAAGTCACAAGAGAAGGAGGCAAGCCGCGAAAGACCCTCTCGGCTTTCCATTTTGGTCCGTGCCTATTTAGGACCATAAGGTGTACTGCTGGGTGGAGGGAAACCCCATCCCTGAAAAGATTTGTTCAAACCTGAGGATCGCGCGGTAAATCACTTGGCATGCAAATCAGGGGCGGCGTTTGAATTTTGCCATTCTAAACTGGCCTGTCAGGAGATGGATCGCGTTGTGTTTGCTCAAAATCCAAATTTTGTCAAAATCAAATTTAAAAAAAAATATTAATTAATTTTTTTATAATCAATTTTTTATTGAAATTTAAACACATCCAAATTTATATGACTTTTTTTAAAATAATTTAAGAATTAATGTGCAAAAATACATTTATCCTATGTTTAGATACACATGAATTTGGATTTGGATTTAGATTTAGATTTGAGCCAAATTCATTGTTTGAATAATTAAAAATGTATGGATTTAGATTTGGGATTTGACCCAAATCCAAATCCAAGTTCTCCCTTAATTTATTTGTAATTTAAAATCATTTCTAAACCCCTATTATTTTAAATTCAAACTCAAGCTCTTTTGTAATTTGACCTAAATACATGAAGGTTTGATCAACCTGCCAACAATAATTAGACCGAACAACCCAAGTTCATAGAAACAAGCTGTCGCCGTTTACCGGGGTGGGATGGCCGACTTCCACCAGCATCGGACTAATGGTGGTGACGAAACGGCTGACTTCTACTTGAACCAGACCAACAACGACGATGAGGATCGGATGGCCGACTTCTATCGAGATCGGACTGACGATGATGATGAGGACAAGATGGCCAACTTCTATTAAAACCAGACTAAAGACGATGACAAGAATTGGAAGGCTGACTTTTATCAGGATCGGACCGACAACAACTATGAGGACCGGATGGCCGACTACTATCGGAATAGGACTGACAGCGACAATGAGGATTGGACGATCGACTTCTGCTGGATCGTACGACGGCGATGACAGGGACCGAACTTTCAACTTCGACCAAGATTGAACCGACAGCTACGACGTGGACCAAACGGCCAACTTCCACCAACATTAAACCAACATAATCTGTCAGGTCGCCGTCGTAGCCGTCATTTTAGTCCCTATGGAAGTCAGCCATCTAGTTTCTGTCATCGTTATTGGTCCAATCCTAGTAGAAGTTGGTCATCCTATCCTCGTTGTCATTGTCCATTTGGTCCTTGTAAAAGTCGGCCATCTAGTCCTGGTCGTGGTCGATCTGATCCCCATCGTAGTCATCATTTCGGTCCCTATCGAAGTCGACCATTTGGTCTTTGTCAATCCGGTCTAGGTGGAATTCAACCATCTAATTCCCATCATCGTTGTCAATTCTTTCTTGGTAGAAGTCAGCCATCTTGTCCTTGTTGTTGCTGTCGGTCCAATCTCAACAGAAGTTAGCCATCTTGTCCCAATGGTCGTCGTCAATTTAGTGCCAATAGAAGTCGGCCATTCTATTCCTGTCATCACAACTGCTCGATCCTGGTAGAAGTCAGAGGTTTTGTCCTGGTCATCACTGGTGCCATAGTCTCAATTGGCTTTATTTGTCTGATCCCATTAAAAGTTGGCCATTTGAATCGTCAAGTTTGACTAATTTTTTAAATTTCTTTTAAATTCAAATATAGAATTTTAAAATTTAAAAATTTTGCTTTAAATCCAAACAAAGAATTTTAAAATTGTAATTTAAAATTTTTTATATCATCCAAACAAATGATTTAGAATCTATAAATTTTAAATATGAGATTTTAAATCTAAATTTTTAACTTAAATTCACCCATTCAAATACAATTTTAACATATTTGATAAGGAACCACAAATGCTATCAACTTGTACAATTTTGCCTATAACTCTAAAAAAGGGCACAAAATTCCCAAATCCATAATTGAGACCTAAAGTCTTTTAAGCAAGGGTTGTGGTCTTAGTGCTATGTCATGTTGTAAATGGATTATGGGGCCAAAATATTTATGTAATAGTACACTTTGGTATAATTTTGCACCTCAATCCTTAAAACAATGCAAAAATCATCAATTTATAATAAATTCACTCATTAGCTAGTGTTGACCATGTTAAAAACATTGAAATTTTAATTGCATATATAGAAACCCTTGTTTTCAATTTTTTCTTAACTAGTTGAAAAACACACAAATCTTAGATCTTTTAACTATCTTGGGATCTTGTTGTGTATTTAATTTCAAGTGTACATCATAGCCATGTGTAGCTTCCATACGACAAGACTTGGAGAAGATGGAAGCATCATGTATTTGAGAGAATCAAGAGGCAAGGATATATTGGGAGAAGCAATCCAAATGCTAGAGAAAAAAGAGCCTAGAATGAATAGATTATGAGTATTGTTGGAATGAGTTATCTGTAAATGTTCATGTCTATAAAATTGTTTCCATTTGTAAAGCATATATAATTATATGTATAAACATTTCAAGATATAGAAATCCACTTTTTGTGAGTCTTATTGTACAAATTATATGATATGATAAATGAATATGTTTTCATGAGAATGTTGCATCTGCACTTAAAGGTATTTGGAAAATAATATCTAGATTCTTTTATTATTTTTTTATAATGTAGTGTAATTTATGCTATCAAGGAATGTAAAAACATGTTATTGTTTAATGATAAATATAATTTATTGGTGTTCAATTATTGTTCTTCATATTTTAGTTGATGTAATTAGGCTTTAAGAATATCTTTTAGTGTTTTCATAAAAAAGAAAAAAAAAAATTTAAAATATTTATTTATATTTTTAAAATATCCATATGTGTTTTCAAAATATTAATATGTGTTTTCAAAATATCTATTTGTATTTTCAAATATCCATTTGTATTTTTAAAATATGCATTTGTAATATCCTGAAACATAACATTGATGCAATATTTAAACCCACAGGTTTAAGCCATATTCAAACATGCATTTTGAATATCTTAAAGATGCAATTTTTTCCATTTATTTGAATTAACCATTTTGGATATTTGAATATTACTTCAAGGAATTATAAATAGACTTCTATTTATTCAAATATATAAAAGTGTTATTTAAATATAAAAAAAAATCTACATTTTGTTGAAGATCAATCACGTATTGAGGAATAAAGATTGCATATGCTTCTAAAGATATCTACAGGAAAAATTAATGAGTGATTCAAACATATAAAAGTGACATTTAAATTTGTGTAAGAAATTTATATTTCATTGAAGATCAATTGCATACCACAAAAGAAAGATTCACATGCTTTCAAAAATATCTATAAGAAAAATTAATGAGTAATATTCGAATATGTAAAAAAATTTGTATTTAATTGAAGATTGATTTCATATTAAGGAAGAAAAATTGCATATACTTTCAAAAATATTCATAAGGAAAATTAATTAGTAATATTCAAATATGCAAAAGTGTTATTTGAATAAATGAAATTTTTTTTGCATATAATTAAAGTTCAAATGCATATAGTGGAAGAGTTGTTGTACATGACTGAAGACCCCTGCTTTTAGTATTCCAAAATGCTTCTAAGTTAAAATTTTTTATAATATCAAAAGATGTTATCCGAATAAATGGAGGTTTTGTTATATATAATGAAAGTTCAAATGGATATAATGAAAGGATCACTATATATAACTGAATACCACTTCATATGACCTTTTTCAACATATTGACATTAAAAGACTTTGTATTAAGTGTTGATAGAAAATTATTGAAGTGAGAGAGCTCGTGACATATTGACAATAAAAGACCTTATTCTACTTTTGCTTTTTTTTTTTTTTTACAAGAAGGGCATATGTCATTTAACCCTCAATAATCAATGCCAATGAAGAACCTCATTCTCCAAAAGTCCCCCAAGTTCTTTTCAGCAAATTAATTTGGTGGTGAGGTTTTTTATAGTAATTTTCTCTTAATATAAAGATCACCAAATTCCGTGTAATTCTCTCAGTGTAGTATGTTTTGGCCAATGAAATGAAGAAAAGGGTATGTTAAACATCAATGTCATTGAATCGGCTCACCCAAAAACCCAAAAACCCAAAAAAAAAAAAAAAAAGTAAGGAATTCGAAAACTTCTGCAATCTCGTTGTTTTCGTAAGACTTGTTCTGCATTGACTAATTCTATATTAACATCAATGCCAGCATACGCTATTATGGTTGAGACCATAATCTCCATCTTGGATATTGAAATTATAATATAAATACTAAAACAAACAAAATGTAAGAAGAAAATGTTTATAACATTCGAACTACAACGTATCACCGAAACTCTGAGATAACCTGTCAAAAATTGAACTACAAATTCTTAACATTTAAAAAACTTGTCAAAATTCAAATTATAACCTGTTAAAATTTAAATCCACTAACAAGTACAGAGTATTACAAATAAATTCATTCACACAAGTACTTAATATTTACTGCATTATTTAGCTAATTCGATACCTTTTTTTTTTTTAAGTATTTGTGTTTTGTAAAGCATCGGTTCTTTGTCAATATGACCTCGGGGGACTGGATTATATCATGTCTGGTTTAGAGCCAAACAGAGACCACGTTATAGTAAAATATAAAAGATTAATATGTATTTTGTATTACACGTCCCTTTTATCTCAGCCCCCTCATTCTTAAAACCTGAACCCGCGCTTAGTCCTGGAAAAAATAGCACGGTTACTTTTATCCAGTGTGACTTAACGAGTCTACTAAATAGTTCTCTCGCGAACAGCTAGATTTGCAGCCAGGGAAAAGCTAGCTTTTGAATTTTTCCAACAAATTTTTACATTAAATTTAATATTGATCATTCTTATTCAGAAAATATCATATCGGGCTTACAAACAGAGACTCGAAACTTAAATGAGTTGAAAAGAACATCCACTCAACGCACGTGGAAGCCGAAAAAGGGTGACATATAATAAAATGGATGTATGACTAGAATTTGAACCTAATCCTTGTACTTCATCTCAGAAACTAGGAAGCCTGGCATGTCAAATGAGGCTGCAAACTTCTCCACATCAGACTTGAGGGCTTCAATATCCTTGTTGTCTATCAAGCCCTTGTTGAAGTCCTTCAAAAGCTTGCCATGCTCGTTCTGGATCTTCAGTGTTAGAGTCACTGCACGGTGAAGGAACTCTCCAATCTGTTCAAAGTCCTTCTCAACCAGCCCTCTTGAAGTCATGGCTGG